TTTCGTTGAGAGAGAGAGAGAGAGGAAAAAAAGACTCCAGTATTTTTCCTCGAGAAATGAATGAGTCTAATTCTATTACTGCTGTTTGCCATGCTTATCCAAAGTAAGGCTTATTGTATTTGTTTATATAGACATATTCTTTCATTTTGTTCATCGAACATTCATCGAAACATTATAACGGTTTCCTCCCGACAGATGCACGAAATCTCTTCGTAAAAAACATTGCAAGCTATTTCGTTGATTTAAATAATGGGATTTTATACTGCCAGTGTAAAATATTATTTTGCTTGAATTAGATAGCTGTCACTGGCTTTTGATAGAATACGAAATTAACAATTAATTTTTCAGAGTTCCCACAAATGTACATGTATATGTTTAAACAGCGAAAAAAAGTCTTTTCAGTGGAAGTTAGCAAAAAGTACAGTTAACTAAAAAACAGATATTTTATACAGATGGAGCTCATTTAACGCTGTAAGAATATCCATCTAAGAGAAGAGTGCTCCAACAAAGTATGTGCTAAGGACTCACTAGGTCCCGTCAAATCACCCCATTTGTAGCATTTGCACCAAGCTGGGTAGATCCTTCCTAAATCTTTGTTTGCAAGGTTAACCGTGATGATGATTGATTTTCAACTCTTTCATTTTAAATGATATTTTATTTCTTTTTATCCATATATGAACATTTCTTTTATTTCGGACCTAATTCCCCACCAAATTATAATACTATTGTTGATTTCCGCGTTTATACTATTTCTTTTTGAATTATTTGAATTTTGTATAGTTTTGAAATGGGAGTTAATGAAAAGTGGGAGGAAATTCTGCGTCATGTTGTTAGGAACTCATTTTTACAACCATAGAAAGCCACTGCAATAAATGCATGTAAAGCTGAACGACTAGTAATTTATCAAAATGATTAATAATGTAACCAATAAAATATTATTGCAAAGCTGATGATAGGTTTTCCCTGTCATTATCTATCAATTCGCTGAAGATAAGACGAATAATCAATATTTAATTCTTATGAAGTTTTTTTAGATAAATTTTTACTCCTTTGAATAAAATAAAATCCTGAGGTTTTTGTTTGCTCTTTTATATTATGCTAGCAAAACTTCCGACAAAATTTTTCATTTAAAATAGATTGCAATGAAATAGATAATTTACTGTCGATCGTCATTTCACTTTATGGGCTATGAAAATAATTATTGTCTCATAGACATTTCGTTTGGAGTATATTTTTATATATGACATTTCAAAAATAGCGCATTATTTAAGCTTATTCATATCCATACAATTTCATTTTCATATAAAGATAGATATCTTACAATTTCAAGGCAGCCAAGTAGCTTATCTTGTGGTTCCCCGTATCTTTTTATGTATATGGCGACGAATTTTTTATTCTTCAAAATTTCTTACAATCAAAAAAATAAAATGATACTTGGATGGAGAAGAAGGGGATGGAGAATAAATGAGGTATAAATAAAGCTTCATTGAAGTATAAATAAAACTATTAAAATTTGACGTCAAATAACAGCTAATTAACGAGTGTAATAAATGGAAGCCAGCAAAATATACGATCAAATAAGTGCACATCAAAGTCCTTTTAGCTCGTAAAACCCTACATCAACTTGAAATTTCGTTGTTTTTTTGTCTTCTCATGGCTTTCCTACCTTAATTATCGAAAACTTTGGAAATTAATGGTTTTACGAGTAAGTAATTATTCCGATAACTGTTATCATTGGTGCTTCGGCTCCACATCTCATTATAACACGATTTTGAAATTTGAATCGATAAGTAATGCTAAAAGATGGTGACAAAGATTTCTGAAGATTTCAAGGCAAACTTGGAATAGTCAGAAAAGCCAGAGGTTAAAACTGTAAACAACATTAGCCTAATGCCCAATGGCCATTCAGTAATGGGTCGCATAAAGGATAAGAGCTGTTTTGGTGAGACAAGAGCTATGCATATTCATCAACATCACGAGAGCACTTCGATAAAGCTGACGATAATTGTAAGATTGCCAGAAGACCTCTTGCTAAGTTATTAAGATGCTTATCTTATTTATTAGTGCCTGATGCAGTTGTCACTTGTAACAATGAACTTTACTGCATTTGACAGGTTAGCACTCATCAAACGTGACAATAGAAAACCAATGTAATCATATAAATTGAATTCCTCTCAGGAAAATGCAATGAAACAACCCAGTTTGGAATTCCACGATTATCCACATATTGCTACTGCTGTGAAGCAGGAAGATCGTAAGCTGTGAGATAAAATTTAGCGCAAGGTTAGCAAAAGATTAAAATATATTTTAAAAAGTAAACATAGATCAAGTTTAATAAATGAAGATCTTGAAGTGATTTGATATGATAAAAATGTAAACAATCACTTTCAAATTAGTGTAGATGAATTGATTTAATTGATTTGCATAATCAGCAATTAATAAAAATATCTATAAGAGAAATGAATACTTTTTTATAGATCCTGTTTTGTTCACTTATCCTTCCATCGATGGTACTGCCAACGAAGGGAATCAATTGTATTTGTAATTTGATAGAAAATAAACATTTATTCGGTTGACAATTAATTAACGAGCACAAAGTTGATGCTGTAAAAAGCATAACCAAATCAAACAAATAGAAATACTTTCGATTTGTTGTTTAATAACGGTAGATTAGAAAGCTTAAGACCTTTTTCCGATGAAGAAGTGATCCTTGGAAGAATTTTTTTTAGAAGAACACTAACTTTCCAGTTTTATCCTAATTATTTCTTATTCTGTAGTCACGCTTATTACAATGTCGTTATAATTCATATAACAAGTAGGAAATTATCCTCATTTTTTTCCATTTTCTTATTCTCACTAAATTGTAATTTATTTAATCCAGCTCATTAGCAACTGCTAAATTATCTTTAAGTTGTATTTCACAGTTTTTTTTTTTTGTTATTCAAAACGACTTCACTGGACAAGAAGATAGAGACTACCATATCGTCATTTTCATTTATTGGTAATTTATTTAGAATTTTTGCACCATTGAAAAACTTTAATTTTTTATGGAATGGCTTCCCACACTGAATTTCAGCTTTTTCTGTATATATTTTATCCTTTCAAAGATTTCCGCGTAAATACTTTACTGAAATTCACTTCCATTTCTTCTTCTGTCGATTGTTTGCTATTGTTTCTGCTTCCTAAACGACCTCAGGTATTAGTTGAAGTGATCATCAACTAGCACAACGATCATTATTCGAGACTAGAAGTAAGCATTTCATTTTTGCTGGAGTGTAAAAATAGTGGGAATCAGAACTTTATGATTTATATATGCCAGTTATTGCTTATTGATAACATTGTTGGTTTTCTTTTCGCAACATGCAGAATAACTTGGATGGGTATCAACTTTTATGCAAATCTCTTCAGATTACCTAAGTACCATTCCAACTGAATCAAATTTGGCCGATTGGTTTACTTTCCATCCCTTTTTACTTCTCTCCTCGGAATTATTAGGAATTAATGCTTTGAAACTCATAACAGGAGAGAACTTTTTTTTTCATGCGTGAGTCGATAAACATAAGTTTTATAAATTTACATTTGAAAAATCCGAGAACACACTGTGCAAAAGTTAGTATGGACATTTTCCTTTGTTGAACAAGATAGTTTAGATTGATAAGAGAGATGAAGCATCCTGGAAAAATGCTCCAAAAATCCATGCTGAAATATTCCTGGAAACATCAAGTTTCATAAATAATTCGAATCGGAACGACATGCACGAATGTTTTAAATCGTTTCTCATCTTTTTCATATCCACATTATTTTTAAATCAGATTGGACTTTTTAACTATGAAATTTAAAAATTTTTATGGATTTCCTTTCCAGTCAACAAAAATAATGACGGCAATTTCATCTAAACAAATCAAATTCCTCAGGAACTTTTGAAATTTTCATTCGACTACAATGAAGTCTTTCTCATTTCACATCCGTATCTCTTCTTTCCAAATGCATGTGATTTTCTGAAATGGCACTGAACACTCATAACTCTTCCATCAGAGAATTTCGCTTGTATTGTCCACCAACCTTCAGAGGGAAATTCCATTTATTTATTCACATGTTATTTTCTTCCACTGCTTTTGTGAGCTGTATAAAAATTTCTGATTGCTGCGATATCTGAGTAAATTTTCAAACATGGATTGCAGTGCGTCTTTCAGCTACATTAGTTTCTAAGCAACAGTTGAAATAGGAGTTATAATTTTGTCATTTTCTCAGTGTCCTTAGCTAGAGCGGAGGCAATGGAATGGGTAGGCTAGAAAGTTTTTAGTTAGTGAACACAACGACATATCTCGATATTAGTTTTGCATGCATTTTAAATGAAATCTATATCCGACTTTGAAAAAAATCTGGAAGACTTGAGTCGTGATTTCCAAACTGTCCAATGGTAATGACTCAAAGTTGTCGAAATATTTCAATTATAATTTTACTATAAGTTTAAATGCAAGCAGTGGTATAATCGATACTATAAGAAATTTTAATATTGATAATTTCCAATATCACTTTTGGCTTTCATTGCAAATGATTCTGCGATCACGTGCAAAATTTTTACTATATGCAATGAACTATAAATCAGTTTTAAAACAAAAGTAAAATAACAGAATAAGATTTTAGAATTTCTACTTCAATTTTATCCATTCTTTTATTTTTGTTTAAAGTTTGAAGTTTTATTTACAAGCAAAAAATTTCAAGTGAAGTTTTACGCCTCAATGATTACATTTTCATTTTCAATACACAATAAAATAAAATTTATGAGTCTCACTACCTTTTCCGTTAGCAATGAAATTAAAAAATAGCTTTCTTTGGAATTTGAAGCACAAAAAAGACTTTAAATTTTAATTGGAAAATTTCTTTCTCATTGGATGCGAAAAAAAACCTGGCTTTCTGGTATAATAAATGAGATGGCGCTGAAATAAACAACCATTGCGACACACTTTGTCCGAGGCATGATAGCAGATGTTTGAATTACTTTTATTCATTTGGGATTTTTTCGTCTTTTAATAACTTTTCACTTGCATAGGAAATTAATAACTAACTGGCTTTAACATTGCTTAACACCTATTTATCACTTTTTGCTTCCTTTTTCGATATCGCATGTTTAATTTTTAAATAGTATGTTTTTAACAGAGTGGGAAAAGAAGTGAAAACATTTTCAAGAATAATCATTGTACGTATTACTGTACCAATAGTATCATGTATCAGTAATCTTAGGTATCGAATTAAAATTGGCAAATCACTTCATTCTTTAGCTTGCTCCAACAAAAATTCTCTTATCCTTCACTACATTCGCAAAGAAAAACACGCCGATTTTACCGAATTTCTTTTCCATTCAACTTTTCGATAAACTTATTTGTAATCGCAAAGCAGAAAACTAAACGAAAGTTTTATTTCCAGAGATATTAGATCTTTATAGAAATTTTTTACCTCTATGAAAGCATACCAAGTGGGAATGCAAGATGATCAGTAACGAATATCACCGGGAGTATCAGTATCAGCACCAGCAGTATCAACAATCACAGTTTGAATTTCAAAGATATGAAGAACTTACTACCAGCTGTTTTTTATATATTTAGCAAATTTGTGGTTAGAGCAGTACAAACGCCAAATCCATTATTTTTTTCACCGTGTACATTTCCATCTCCAATCTATGAACCTCATCAGGTCAGTTTATTATTTTGAAAATTTAACAGTAAATAAGTTGATATCTGCTGCTCTAAAGTTCGTAACAATTAATTAAAATACGTAGTGATGAGATAAATACCGCTTTGGACTATGTTAATTCTTTTGTACACAAAACTTTGTTGTACAAATGAAAAATGTTTCAAAAATACATTTTTTAAATATTTTAATTTTTAATACAATTAATAAATTGCTTAGAAATTTTAAAGTGTGATCCACAGATTAAAAATGTTTTAATTCAGTTTCGCTCGTATTGTAATCTGATGCCTCATCTTCCATTCATTTGTGATTTACATCAGCAACTTGGCGACTCTGCTTCAACAGTTATCCTAGAAGCATTCGAAAAGTTGAGGTCAGTGCTGGTCAGAAATGATTCTTCGTTCGCATTGGGCATACTTGTTGGTGAGATCATTGTCATTCAATTTGTTTACAATGTTTTGCTAATTTTAACAAAGCTAAAGGATGAAATTTATTAAAACAATTCAATTAAAATTCATTCACCAATGTAATTAATAAATATAATTAATAATAAATAGAAAAAGTTAATTCCTTATTCAAATTCGTTAACTCGAAAACATTTAAATATCTGCAATCATTTTTATTTCACTCATTTTTACATTTGCAAAGGATGAGATTAATGTGGGGCACACAACTTCATTTGGTGTAAGGAAGAGTTCTGGGACGGAAACTTAGATTAAAGCAATATTTAATTCAGGTTCTTTGGGTAAATGAAATTGTCCAATCGTGTTTGACTTGAGCGATGCAATGTTCGCTCTGATGGTATTAACATTTTATTGAAGCTTACTTCACTTCCACCCTTCTAATAAATCCTGTCTGAACTCTAGCATAATAATTCTGCACGCAGTAAAAGCCGGTAATTCAAATGGACAAGTTGAAAAGTACAACATGAGTTCAATAAGCTATATTTTTAGTACGTCAGTTGGCACCACCAACGAGTTCATCGGTAGTCTACAGCAATAAATATGAATATGGTTGCTTGTTTGAAGATGAATGCGTTTATATGGATGCCGAGAAGATACAACAGTTCGTAATTAGTGCCCGAACTTTTATAAAGGTATTATTTTGTTAAGCAAAATTAAATTGTACCAAACACCACAAACATATCACACTGTAAGCGATTTTGAAGCCTCGCTGAAAATTTGTAAAAGAACTGAAATTTCCAATGATGCACCTTAGATTTATGCTTCGACTCTGTATAAGCGCTGGTTTCTTGAGGATACAACCTATAATCAACCCAATATTCTGGCTATAATTATTCTTGATGGTTTGGTGAACGACGTCCGGAAACTACCTTACGTTAAAATTTACACTGGTTTGTTAGCTTTTTAATGACAACGATAAATATAAACATGCTAGATAACTCTGGTAACATGGTTTGAACTGTTTGAAATGTTATCGTTTCAAAGACTGAGAAAGGACGGCATCTGCGAACATAATAATTATTGGCGCATTATCTGATAAACTAATAAATCAGCTTATCTTTTCCTTCCATTGAGATTGCTATCATCCGTTTCGGCATACTTACAAGTTCTTGCTCTACTCCTGTTTTCTTATAATGCCTCCCTCCCGTAATGGCGATACAGCTCCACTATAGCATCATTTCACTTATTTTCGAATAACTTAATGGACGGCTCTGTCAAAGGAAATATAAATCTGTTAGTCGTCCACCGATTGTCCTTAAACAGCATTTGCAAACTGTACATCTCGCCAACAACTTCTCAACTTGTTTAACTTTCTACAGTTTATAAACAGCAAGTTGTTTTCAGGTGACTTTCGCCTGCTTTCTTCAATGTTCAATATCCAGTCAGAATGTGTCAACAATATCCTTCAAGGTAATATCAGTGACATCTTGATATGTATTTATTTCATTTTCAACCACCTATTTGTTAGATGAGCTGAGTGGGAAACTGGAAAGATTAAGGAGTTGAAATCGAGGCGTAGCCATGTTTGTGTGGTCGCATTTCTTCCAACACTGAATGAGTGGACAATTGATATCAAAAAGTAAATTCAAAAACTAATGATTTTAAAAAATCATAAAAAGCCCCCAAAAAAAAATTTTGAAGTTAGACCGGTTTTTGACCTATAAACAAAACGATGCTATGAGCGGCAATGATAAGAGAGATGAGGTACAGGCTGGCCGTTGCATATGGTAATCGCTGATCTAATCGAGCAACTTGGTCATTCACTACGCGAATTCTGCCTTCTTAATGGCGATATCCGGTTACATATCGTGCCCTCCTGGGCTATTCAGATATTTATCTTGTGCATTGTCGTGTCTTTTTTAGCAATTTTCGTGGAATGGTACATTGTAAGGCGGAAAATACCTTACAAACGTAGTGTCACCGACATCCGGTTACAGGCTGGTAAGAGTAAAGCACATATTATTTTCTATTAATTGGATAAGAGCATAATTTTAATTGTTTGGAATTATTCATCAGTGATTTTTCTGCATATCAAAACGTATTTGTTGTAACGCATATCCTAGATTGTGAACATTGAACACTGAACCACTTGCTGGCAAGATTTCAGACGATTTGGATAAAACATAACTTTGCTCATACTTTGCTTGTTTGTTTTTTAAGCATCCCTTGTATTATACCGTAACCTTTCGATTCTGAGCGACTTGCATTTTGGAGTTATTTAAATAATACCAGTAAAGATGTAATGGTTCGAAACATATCTTCTCGAGGAAGGTATTCGGTGAAACTAATTGGAAGAATGTTTAGTTAGGTTGACATATGTTGCAAACAGAGATTCAAAACTCAGTTTCCTGAAGAGAAAGAAAAAATAGGAAGTTTACCTGCCCACAAAACGCTAATCTCACAAACGCAACACCCAGAAGGCGGAATCGAACCACTCCGTCGCTAGACGGCTGCAGGTTTGAAGCCTGCATCTCGGACCACCGAGATTCATCCAGGCGATGCAATTGCTGTTACGTCTCATCATCTAAACCTTCCGTATCTTTTCATTCGGCAGTGAGTGGTTCTAAGCGGCACCTATTTAAAATTCCTCATGTCTGCAACTCCGCTCAATAACTATCTCTCGCCACTCTACCTTTTTTCTGTAAACGATAAGAGCACCAAAGGGAAGAAATGAAAAATGTCTGTTGTTTAGATGCAACCTATAAAACCTCATCTACACTGAACCACCAGAGTTTATAATGATTTAACTCGCCATCATTTCTTTCTCGATTGCTCTCTGCTGCATCCTCGAAACAGCGTGTTTTGCATCATCCATAACAAACCTGGTTGGACATTTATGCCCTTATGTGAAATCAGTTAATGTAATGCTATACTACCATTCCACTTATCTCTACTCCTATCAAATATCTCCTTATCCGTCTCGGTACATAGAAATGATTTTTTTGATCCCCCTGAAGTTACAATCTCTTCTTCCTCCCAAACCACTACGCTTTAAACTTCGCGTTTCTGTCATCAGTTCGCTCACCTCCATACGGTAATACTAGTCAAATTTGTTTTCAGCTCCTGCGATATCCGATCCACTCTGCTTTCCCACATCTGTTGTAAAGAACTCGGAGTGTCGTAGATGTAACCGATGTCATCATTATTTATGGTAGATTTTCGCGGTTTTGTTATAACTACTGATAGAATGATCACGCTATCACTAATGATTTTTCAATTTCAAGTCGCAATACTAGCATTTTTTATTACCATGATTAGTGAACATGCAAATGTGGTACTAATAAAGAAGTATTAAATATGTAAATGCGCACTGATTAAATAAAAATCACTATATATTTCAATGTGCTTCACAATGGCAGCGGATCTAATTGACATAAAATTCAATTTCAAACTGTGAAGCACAATAGGCACAAAAAATTATGGTAAATACGATGAATATATGGTAAAGTGTGAGGCAGCATGCCAAAAATAAAAGAAAAACATTAAAACGCAACAAGTCTATGAGGTCGAGAAACAAACCGTTAATATGTAAGGAGATTTCAGGATTATTGGTCACAGGGATTTTTGCAAATTCCGAGCACAGCTGGGCATTCTAACAATATTAACAAAGCCCAGAATATGAAAAACATACTTATAAATACCTAACAAATGGCATACTATACTTTTACGGAACAGTCAGTACATTATGAATTTTTATTTTTTCAAAATATATTCCTCCAGTGAATAGAACTTTTCCCTAACGCTTAACCTGAGTAATTTATTAAAATATACTTGAGCATTGATGACATGAAATACATTCTGAACAAAATTGGTTACGGTGATATCGTCAGGATCGGTTAGGGTCATCAAATTTTCATGGTTACACAGATCTTTTTCAACAGTTCAGTTACGTTTACCAAAAACCTTCACATCCCAGCTTAAATCCTAAATGAAAATCACAAAAACGCATTTCTTACAAAATAACAGCAAATACTAATGCATTCCATATATTAAAATGTATCAAATATATAAACGGTTTCAAAAAAAAAGAAAAACGAACATCTTTGGTACACTAATAAAATTGAATCTTACTACTACTGGACATTAATGCATAGAATTCATGAAATAAGCTATGAAATAAGCTATTTACACAGGTATTTTTCCCAGAGATATGAATTCAGTACACAATTTATCTAAGAGATATTCGAAATCGAATAAAATATCTTGAAAAAACTAAATTTGTAAGACGCCAGGACTAGGTAAATTTTTAGCTGTTTTCAATGAACAAAAAGTTATCCTGCTGACGAAAGCAAGAGATGCCTCTTTCAAAAAATCATCCCGAAAATAAAACAGCTAAATATGAACTTTTTTACTGAAGTACATTAACAGATGGCATAAATTTTTGTTGCCGCCGTGCAATTTCACGGTTGATTTCACGCCGAAAACGTTCATATTTGATTGCAATATCAATACCTTCTTGCTTGTATAACTTCATCAACTGACTATCGTACTGCTCCAGTTGTGGCAGACGGAATAATGGCCACTGCAATTCGTTTCAAGGTCGCTTTTATTTTTGCATTCGAAACGCAATATGTCGTACGGGACAACAAAGGATGTACTGATTTGCAACTAGCATTGTCTTATTTCCGTTAGCAAAAGATAAGAGTAACTAAGACTCATGCTCCTCTATTTCGATAGGCTGTATCTTAAAATGTTCGTGGTTGTAAGACTGTAATTATAAAAACATTAACATAAACTAACCTCCAGCAAATGATCTAATTCATATGGAGCACGAGAGTATAAACGAAGCCAATCTGGGATATCTGTTAAAAAACGTAGGTAAGTTTTATCAGATGAAAATTCAAACAATTGAAATACACCAATTGCAAAGCAACGAAATATGACGTGAAGTTTTATTCGTGAAAGTATGCCATTCCTCATTAATCAACATACCTTCACCAATAATATTCAACTTTTCAATCGTACTTTCGGCACGCTGTGTTAACTGTGCTGCAGGATTACTTTGTGCATAACTTACAGGTGTTGCTAAGCCAGGATGTTCCAATTGCGTTCGACCATCCAACTTACTAAAAGAATCCGTTTTATTTTTTTCTCCCCCATCCCCATGTTACTCATGGAATGAGAAATTACAGCTTACTTATTTTTAACAAAGCGTTAAAACTAGAATCATTAGAAATATTACTTGTGATATGTTACTCCATTCATCGAATCAAATTGCTTTGTCCAGCCTAAAGGTAAATTTTCTTTAACAAGAGGATGAATCCAATGTGTTCGTCGATTGCTGTGATCCACGTAGTAACTGAAACAGAGAAGTAATAAAAAGATATTAAACACATATACATATACCTTGTCGAAACCAGTCTGAAAATACTCTGAGTATATTAAACAACAAAATAGGTCGAAAAATCATTTTAATATCTAACAATGCTCTGAACGAGATATGTACGGCAGTATACTTGATTGGCCAACTTCGATATATTTAGTTAAAGTCAGTTTACTACGAAATATTAAAAAGTCTGCAGTACAAAGAATAATCATATGCAACGCTCAATGCCACAAAAGCAACCAAAAAGTACCATTATCACATCTATTAGAATAAAAAAAAATTCTGAAAAAGAGACCGAATTCCTTCTGGTGTTAATTCAACAGCCCAATTCGGTGGCAGTGTGAGGTCCTCCTTCATTACTCCATTGCCACGATTCTCACCAGTAAACGGTGTACTTATCGAACGACCTAGATCTTGCTATAATTTAATGACTATAATTACAACTTGATAAACAAGACTTGAAAAATCAATAGATGTTTACCAATTTGAGGAAATACAAATGTAATAATTCAATAAAATATAAATATAAGAGAACGTAAGAGTTTAATAGGACACCAAACACGGCTAAAGTTTCTTTCGGTGAAGGTATATTTCAAGCTTTATTTAAAAGAAGTGTAAAAGTGCAACATAAGACGAAGGTACCTGGCAAACTTTGCAATGAAATGGACACCAAACGCTGTTCGCTATTTTCTGCGTTTTCTGCTTGTGTACCGTGCTGAAATTACAACTAGTATCAACAGATCTCTCACTGATCTAACAAATTATCGAACATTCCTGATAAATTGGGGAAGGCTGCCAAAATTATCACACCTGTACTACGTTACCGATGCTAAGTGACGACGTAAGACCCTTTTTCGACAGGTACTGACTGGATGTTCGACTTTCGCTGAAACTTTGTGATGATAATTCTGGTTTTGTACGAACGGAATTTCGCTCTACTCGGCAACTACTGACATCGCTTCCGGCATATTGCAAGCTTTGGGACGAATGGGCCAATTGTTGCAAACCAGCTTGGATACCTTGAATTACACCTAAAGTATGCTTGTTTCGGAAAATCTCTCGGGTAACTGAAACATCTAAACAAATTCAATAGAGAGGGGGGAGAAAATAGCTGAATATTTGTAGTGAAGTAAGGTACAGACTAACTTGTCGCAAAGCATATTGTTTTAACAATTGCAAGCTTTTTCGTGACCCTTCGCAGCAGTTCATGATGCCTTTTTGAGGAGTGATTTAACATATTTCTGTCGGAGGAAAATGATAAACAGAGGAAAAGGAGAGAAACTGACCATCGCAAGTGGGCAGAGAAGGGGGTGCATCTCTCCTTAGGTACCGGCCTGGTGTGCCTTCCAGGAAAGTTGGAGTCTGGTGTCGACGTCTTCGATTTAACATGTCTCCTGGAAAAAACGTAACTTCATAATGTGCAGCGAACTAAGCATTGTGGTAAAAGCAACAGCAGTAAACTTTTTAAAAAATCCAATTCGTGCTCTATATATTTCACGGCCCTCGTCTGAAACGTTGAATCCTTTCAAAATATGTGAAAAAATTAGTAAAATGATCATGATTGAACTGTAAACCTTAATTATACATTTAATTTGCGGTTAATAATATTTTATTCCACTTTGATCAAATAAAGAGGAGAGGGCGATCAAACTTCGTTATTTTCTAATTTGCGAAAAGAAGGAAAAATCTATTACAAATAAATTGAACAGGCAAAAGACAGCAACATAACGAGTTAAAAATTGAATTTTAGAATCGATTTTCGATCTTTTCCGATTTCGAATGAACCAACTTCCGGACCGGAAGGAAATGATGTGGAACGGTTGTAACAGAATGAGAAATGAATGTCAATCAATCGATATCAAAATCGACAAAAATTCATTGACTGTTGTTGATTAGATATTTGATAACATATTGAGCAAAGGGATTTAAAGAAAGTTTAGTCGCTGAAATAAAAAGTTATTTGGCTGGGAGCGATTATTTTGAGAAATCATGAAGAATTGTGTAGATTAGTTGAAGTGACTGGATTTGATCGAATGATTTTTATCTTAATCCGCCGAATATGCATATTTCGAAAAGTAATTCGTCAAACGGTTCTGTTTAATTCATTCGCTCAGCCAAATTTCAAGGACAATTTGCTCCTAATCACCCAGCAAGGAGTAGTGTCTTTTTTATTTCCTCGCCTATCAGTTATTCTGAACCGCCACGACTTATAGTAACAATGTTTGATGGGCGGTTTGAACCGATCAACAAATTTTAAAAATGATTCATGGGATCAAATTCCTCACATAAAATTTTACCTTCACCGATATGCTGAATTTGTAGTGATAAAAGTTGTTTCTAAAATTAAACAAAAATGTTAAAATGTTGAGCTATTTGGAGTCCGATTAAAATAGGTATAAATATGATGGAGAGAGCAATCCGTTCCATTTGCTCTTTTTCATTTGTACACTCCTATTGTGGACATCTTCCAATCAAGAAGTTCAATTTAATGCGTTATCGCCTCGAAAAGTCTGAATTAGATTTAAGTAATTCCCAGGAGAAGCGAAGCTGTAATGATCGATACAGCTGAGAGGCGGCATCTTTGCGCTAACCTAATTTGGAGTTGGTGCTATTATTCATAGACTTAATCTGTAATTCTCAGTAGTCTGATGGACCAATTCAGCTTGCCACTGTCTTCAAGTTACTCTAACACTTGACATATGCCACTTATTTTTATCCAAAGCTATGGTAATCTCTGCTAGGACCTTGCAATAATTCTCTCTCATTCTCATTTTCATTTATAAATTCATCCCGATGAAATGGGCCTATGCTGTTCAGTGGATGAACAACAGCAAATGGAACAGTTTGACTGCTTACAACAACACAATCAGCAGCGACGATCAGCTGATCACAATTTGCGCCCAAATTCACCGTATGTATTTTTTTATCCAACTAGAAGAGTTGAGATCGAATCAAACTAAAGAATGTTTGCAAATATTTCATTTCAACTTAAACAAAGAAAAAATTTATATTACTCTAAGCCGAAATAAACCATCTTTCCTTATTAATCAGTTATTTATTTACAATTTCATCATTTGTTTATCAGTTAGGTTCATCAAATCCGCTGTTAATTTAGCATTTTCACTTCACTGCAGTAATTAATGACTTGATATATTGACAATGGGTGGTTGATAGCGTCACAAAGCTGTCGCATTTCATTTCAGACTATTTCTTTAACCCTTAGATGTATAAAGAAAATAGATATTACGGTATACCAAAAGCACATAAGCTTTTTTTCGTTGCTAATAAACTTTCTCTTACTTACTTTTAGAAAACAGGATAAATCCTTAAAATTCAAAAAAATTCGTCCAGTTGCAAGAAAAATTTTAATTGTGTGAACCAAAATGAAGAGAGAGTCGCTTTTCTTCGGAACACTTTTTTTTTTGTTTACCCTAACTGAACAGTCATCTGGTATCAGTTTCAGAAGAGATAAATAAGGTAAAGGATAAATACAGAGGAATCAAAAATTAAGCAAATTTTGCATTCAAAGGATTTTGAATGCAACTGATAAGAATTTGACGTTAACAATTGTTTAACATTGGTCGAATATTCAAAATCTGAACTTATTATTCTTTTCTTAATGAAAGCGAGAGAATAAAGTTTATCAAGAAATTTTATGTAAAATTTTGTATGAAATTATTCAACTCTTATTGGATGTTTTTCATATAAATACCTTATCCAAGTGATTTGAATCTATTGAATCTATTGCAATTGGCTTGTCATGAATAATAACGTTTGCTTGTTTCACTGTTATCAGTTCCAACTTGAATTCCAAAATTTTAAATCATTCGTGAAATTCAAAAATTTTAATCATTTAAATTAGTTTCTTCGAGAATGCAATTAATGACAAATAACTGATTAATGACAAATAATAACTGATGCACTCAGTTTTAAATGATTGATATGTTTCATTACTTCTGGACTAAGCGTAGAACGAAAGTAATTGAAAGCATTTAGTAATTTTTATTCAATTCAGTTGTTCAAACGGGAAATTTTTCATTAAAGAAGATGACAAATTTTATTTTCCTTTCTCTCTCTCCAAAATCGACCTTTACAAAATTGGAATTGTGAAATAATTGTAGGATAAGTAAATAAATGACTGAGCAGTGAGAAGAGAATGAAACTGAGAAGCCGAATTAAAGTCAACAGGATTTTACAAAATTACACCAAAAAGAAAATAAGCCATCAAAAAAGTACATGAACAGCATGTATTTTCTAATTTTTTTTATTTTTTTCTGGAAAATAATTTTTTTTGGAAAAATGTGTTTAGTTTTACAAAGTATTGCAACCTAGGGGAAACTGCTTTCATATAGCAAGCTATCAGTAAAAACATTTATAATTAAAAAACATTCATGTTTAGGAAAACAAACATGGATTTAAAAAAATGAATTAAAAACTCTCGGGAACATGCAGAAAATACCCCGTATACACTTGTAAACTTTGACTTCAGGTATGGCGTTGGAATGGGTATAGCGATGATGATGCAACAGGCAGCAGCTCTGGCCAAGGTTCCGCCAGGTATGGACATTTTGACTTTGGAAGCAGAAATACGAAAAGCCAAAGCAGAAGGGCGTACTGTTACTATTGCAAATGGCTGCATTTATTTCGATTATCAGTTGATCGGTTGC